TATAGATATAATAAATTCCGATAATATTACGCTGATCTTCATTTTTAACCTTTGCCAAAACGAAAATGTTTTTGAACATTTACAGAAATTTTTTAAAGAATAATATTCGGCTGGCGTTTTGGTTGTTCATATATGCATTTTTAAGAATTAATTTGTCATAATAAAATTAAAATTGTAATAATGTTTTAATTTTGACGCAACAACTTATTGAGTTATGTATGACCAAGTGATGCTAATAGTTAATAATAATAAATGTTTTATTGTAACGCGTGGTGGTAATCTTACTTATTCTGTGCGTCTTATATTTCCCTGATGGATTGGTAAGAAGAGTATTTGAAAGAACACACTGCAAACCGAATTTATATTCCTTGTTTCTCATTTTTGGACATTTGTCTATTTTTATTCAAATAACTCAATTTTTTAAATATTCATAAAGCATTTCTTTGGGTGGTAAATTCCAGTTTCTATGGTACATTACAATCCGCCATAACGGGTACGCCACTTTGGATTTAAGAATTTTCGAATTAAAACCTTATATTCATGATTAGCGAGTTTGGAAACCACCGAGTAACAAGTTTCAGCCGAAATCTTCAAATTTTGAATGCTTTTCCGATTCTTATATCCTCCATATTGGATTCGACATCTTTTATTCCAAAGCGACCCCAAAAACCCGCGGTTACAAAATTCAGGCAAAAATATTGAATAGAAAAATGTGACTTAGTAAGTGGGACCCTAGTCTGTAGATGGTTTCCAACCCTTTGAGGGATAAATTGCATTATATTTTTCTAGTATGATGTCTTTCAACCTACATTTATATATTTGGTAGTACAAAATAGAGTTCGCAGTAACATTCATTATTTGATCTTAGGCGTGGATTTAACCCTCTCGTAGGGGTGGGTGTGGATTTAATTTGCATATTTCTTTCCAATGCTCAAAATATTATTTTAAAACGTTTTCTCAATTTACAAATTGTTGGTTTTCATTATTTATAGCCTTACCTTATCCTCACTATTTTAGCGTTTTACTAAAAAATGACCAGCTAAACCTATAATTGAGAAACAGTTAGATGATACCCACGAACTTACGGGAAGTACATATTTTTGAAGATGCAGATTTCATACAATACGAAGAAGATGGTGATGAATTAATTCATTCGTGCCAAAAAACTAGAATTGAATAACAGTAAATTTTCATAAATATAAATCATGGCTTTGTATTTCTTTTAGTGTCCTTATACCCTTGAAATTTTTAAAACATACATATTCTGTAAAAAAATCTTTCAATACAGCAAAAAAAATTAAATATGAGAAAAAAAATTATAGATATTATTCCGTCAGAAGTAGAATTTATATGAATATTGTTAATATATAAATACTTAATATTTAATTTGCGACGGGTTAATACCGACAATGCATACAGGGTGTCCGCAAATTTCACCGACTACGTTTGACTCTGCTACACAAACCGAAACGTACAGACCTGTAAATAATGTCATTTTTCTCAAGAATGGCTTTCCTGAAGGCGATTTTCTCAAGAGACAATATATTTTTTTTAAATAAAACGACCTCAATGGTTTTAAAAAAATATGACCACTGTATAAGTTTTGACCGCTAAAAGGGACAGGTAACCGGAGAACACTATCACCCAGTATATCGATTTGACTAAACCTCTAAGAAATAATCTGCCACAATAGTCCAAATAAATGTGCCAAATTTTAACGCGATCGGTAAAAGGATTATGAAGTTATCAATTAGATTAGTTTTATTTCTGACAACTTTGAAGGCCTGTAACTCAAAAACCAAAAAGTTTTTATTTAACTTTTTTTCGTACATTGTATTTATTTATTCTCGCAAATATGCAGTCAAAGGTTGTCGGTGAAATTTGCGGACACCCTGTATATTTTATGACGGTATTGTACTCGTCTCGACCAAAAATATAACAAAAATAATCAAGATTGATCGAGCGGTTCTCGAGATATAAGTCAAAAATTTCGCGCGCAACCGAAATTGGCGTTCACCGCATGCGCGCGCCCAGTTTTCCTCACGCGTGCAGACTCATTAACGTTAACTTTTACTGCTGCTAGCGCGTTTATTACATGAACTTATTGAAAATAAAACTTTAATCCTTTCTTTAATTGTCTCTAAAATCCTGGTGTGATACGTGCAATTAACAATTAGCGTTATATAAAAAAGCTATCTTGAGAACAAAGAGGCGTAGGTGATGTTTTTTTAATTACCGTAAAAATAAGCTCTATTTAAGGCAAAAAGAGCGAATTCCCGATCGGATTTTGCCTCACCCTGGAGAAAATTTGTTTATAACGCTGTGTTGCACGTCCTACTTTGTTAGTTGTAAGGGGAAACTTAATTTCAATTTTTTTTTTTTTTTTCATTACGTTTGTTTCGATCAATTACAACCTATATCTACGATATTAACTTCTAAAGTTAACGTTTAATAATTAAACAATTATTTGCAAAAAAACGAACGAAATTAATTAACAAATACCTGGAGTAACAATTTCACGGTCAATCGAATCGGCCGTTGGCACACATCCATCGCTTTTTCTAATAATAATGCGCAATTTTCGAAAACTAATTTTCCAATATGTCGTCTAGATTTTTATGGGTAGTAAAAAAGTGAAAAAACACATAATTTTACAACTTATTTCCAATTTGTCAATTTAGCGTCACTTCTTTCGAGTTACTTTTTTGATATTCCCCGTCATAAAGTGCAATAAAATGTCTACTAATATTTTTTTTACGTTCAAACCGGAGTATTGATCATCTTTCATACAAATCCATAACGTATTATATTATATTATGTCAGTAATATATGTACAGGGTGTGCCATTTAACACTTCCGCTGCCAATATCTCCGAAATTAAGAGATTTATTTTAGTTCCCGAAACTGGGGTTGTTAGGTTCCTCGAATAGCTTCAAATTACAGTTAGAATTGTTAGTTCAAATATTTCTGTATAGATGACGTAGCGATACTAAAAAAGTTTTTGATTCCTGGAACGTGAAGATCGGTCCATCTGAAAGATCGTTAATTTTTGTAATATAAAGTTTTTCCATATATATTTATTTGTTTTCGAGACATGTCGACTTCAATATGCAATGTATGATGTAACAGGAAAATCTATTATTTTATTTAAATCACACTGAAACAAAATATTCATTTAAAATATTGTTATAATGGCTTTATTCACACCACTAACTAACAAACAATAAATTATAATTAAATGAAATGATCAACTACAAAAAAAAATTGTATAGTGGTAAATTTTATAACTAGTATAGTTAAATTGAAAGACGCAAGTTGATAAAACTGTAATTATTATCATGTGTCATCTGTTTACATATTTTATTTTAAATAAATGACATGAGCCACCCATGACTGAATTTTGTAATAATATTTGATAAAATACAGTTCGTCTCTGCCTCTTATAAGATTTACCATTGTACAATTTTTTTTCTGTAGTTGATTTGTTTTTTTTTATAATTTATTGTTTGTTTAATTAGTATTCTTTTTTCAATATCACCTGTAGTGAGAAGCGAATTTGTAACAGCCTGTATATAATAAGAACCAATAAAGTTTTGACTAAGTATGTGTTATATATACAATATGTTAAGGATAACACAATAGAGCACAATAAAAATAAACCATTTTTGTACAGTATTAACTAACTATTTAGAGATCTGTTAGTAAAGTAGTGAATTTAATAGTGGAAAAGCAAATAAACCAAAATGTTGAAAAAACTACAGAAGAAAAAGGAGTAATTTCAAAAAGTGACAGGTTTTCCATTTAAGAACATAATTTTAATTTATTTCTTCGAAATGCAACGTCGATTGTTTTTTTATAATAATTTTTAAATCACAAGAAAATATCCTAAACGTCTACCATTTTATCCTGGAGAGAAAGATAAAAAAGATAAGGGGCAGAATGTTATGTGAATAACCTTGTAAATATGTATTTCATCTAAAATAAAATATTTGTTTACCCTCTTTTGCATTAAAACGAACAGAACTAAAAAATTACGAAGTGAAGAAAAAAAGTGTAGGTACATGGAAAAACCCCGTGGACTAACCACTACGTTCTTCCGATTTCATACACTGTGAAATAACAAATTTCCAATGCCATTCTAAAAGGTGAGCAACAAAATTAATACTACAGATAAATATGACATCGTCACATGACATTTTCGTATTCATTCGTGCCAGCCCCGTACAAACGGTCACACCCGACAAACTTCCACCAGCTAAAAGCCTCCGCCGCGATTCAAAATCCTCGGCAATTACCTGCGTCCCCCGAGGACTTACTCTTTCCAGTCTCGGAGCTGATTCAATTAGGAACTTCAACTGCCAACTACCCTTCGGGCGAACATCCCTCATTTGTTTTTGTTGCTTTTTAACTGACCTTTTAAAGAGAACGTCGCGAGTTATGACCTTTAAGTCCGTAGCTTTACGACCGTCTCGTTAGCAGCCCCTAAAGGGGGTTCCGCAAGGGCGCAATTCGGGCCGCTTGCTCATGGCTTTTCGTATAGGTGACAGATACGTCGAATCAAAATAAAACGCCACTTTTACGTTACAAACTAACAGATTAAGACAGAATTAAGATAGCTCTGTAGTGAGAAAACGCACTTAGGGCCACGCCGCCTACTTGACCCGATCTGAGTCCAATTTTTTTTCAGTTGAAAGACGTTATTGGTGGTGCAGAAGAGGCGTAGCATTACGAAACCTTCCAAAACACCACGAAACCGTGCCATCTGCTCGTATCTAAACTAGGGTGACGCAACTGCCGTCCAATTATCCCGCCAACTAACCAAAACAAAGGGCAATTAGAGAATTAAACAATCTAAAATCATAAACGACGATCGAAGATTACTATAAACTATAATAAGCCAATTATATCGATAGAAATAGTAAATTATATTGGCGTGGGTTTCCATAGGATATAAAAGGTAATTCTGGGACAGTAGCAGGAAGAAGTATGTGTGATTGCGAATGATGCTGATGCTGTCCGACATGATGGGGGAGAACGACGACGACAACAGCGAGCTGAGCGAACACGGGCGGTTCCTTACTAAGGGTGAGTGACGTCAGTGAAGTGATACCATGTGCGTGCCATAAATAGTTGGACGACGACATATTGTCATTACGTCGTATGTCAAAAAGTGAATTAATTATAGTGAAACGGAAAAAAACAAGAGCGTGATGTAAAGTCAAGAATATTACGTATTAATTATAGTTAACCAGTTATTTTCTATTTTATACTAACACCAAGACATAAAATTATATATTATTTAGGTTTCAGTAGGTACTAATTGCGTTTTTTTTTCTTTTATTCTGCAAAGTTTTGAAGTTTCTTTAAAGCCTTACTCATAGGCAGGGGGGGAAGCAGAGGCAGTAATTTTCTATAAACCCCATTTTTTACAGATCAGCTATAAATATGTTATAGAATAACATATTAAAACGCACAAGCGCCATGTAGTGAGAAAAAAATGTTATTAACAATTCAAGTCGCAAAAAAGTTTATTTAATTATATTTCTTCAATGTCTCGGTTGAATCCCACTCTGAGAAGAAAATGCAAAAAATAGTTTTTATTCTAAATCAAATTTTCTACAAAATAGTATCGCCCCAATTTTTTATTGTAAAAATAATTACGCAATTTACAAAAAATGGCAAAAATCGATGTTTTTCTTAAAATTGTTGTCAATTTTTTAAATATTAATTAAACTTCATGAAACTTTCGGAAAATAATCTTCAATTCATGTATATTAAGCTCCCGTAACCAGCTATTGGACAGATGAGTCGTTGCCGAGTTATTGATAACGCAAAAAGAGCGAATTCCCGAGCGGCTTTTGCCTGACCCTGACACAATTTATTTATAACGCTGTTTTGCACATCCTTAGTTGTAATTTCAACATTTTGAAATCTTTTTTGATACGTTTCTTTGGATCAATTAGAACATATACTTACAATATTAACTTTTAAAATAAACGTTTAGTAATTAAACAATTAAAAACAAACGAAATTAATTAACAAATACCTGGAGCAACAATTTCACCACGGTCAATCGAGTCGGCCTTTGGCACATATGTTGGTCATTGGATTGAACTGACCGTCTTTTCCATAAATTTCAACAACATCCATCGCTTTGCTTTGCAATAATAATGCGCAATTTTTGAAAACTAATTTTTCCGCATTCGACCTTAACTTTACAGTTAACAAATTGGTGGAATATGACTTTAAGTACATTAAATTGTCTACGACATAGAATAACTGCTTCTCCGATAAGTCGTCTAAATTTTCATGGGCAGTAAAAAAGTGAAAAAAATACGTAACTTTCAGCATATAATTATTTTTAAGGCAATTATTTGAAGCTCAAATCGAAACGGGTGCGCCACTGGATTTGCCCGCAACCAATACTTAATACAGTTCTCACTGAAACTGAACTTTAAAATTTTCAGTGGCTATTCCTAAGACCTCTGAAACGAGCTACACCACACGCATCCCTCCGTACGGATTTTCAGCACTTTTCAGCGTAATAGCGCGAATTATTTTTCAGGCGCCTTCCTTCTAACACCCTCGCACGACCTCACTTTAGACAAGGCGGCCAACATTTGCGACAAACTGAACTTCAGGGGAAGCTTCAGCCTGACGAAGACGGCGACCGGCGTATTGTTCAAATTCTCGGAGCCAGAGGACTTTCAGCAAGTTTTCAGGAAGGGCTTTCACAAGGTGAGCACCAAGTTTCACTCCAAACTCCTGATGCTTAAAGGGGAATGTTTTCGGATAATTTTCAAACGGTATCTAAAATGTCTGAGTTCGGTGTTGTGCACAGATAAGTTTTAAACGTTTATTTAAACGTACTTAAATGTTAATACTTAGAAAAAAACGTTTTTCTAAATACGTATGACGTTGACGTTGTTTAAAAAGTATTTGCTTTCGTTTGACGTAAACGTTTATGTTTAACGTTCGCAATAGATATTAAAACAAAACGTTGTAATTTATGTTACTTGAAACGCATTTAAACGTTTATTAACGTTAGGAAAACAACTACCAATCAACACAATATTTTTACCAGAAGAAAATAATGTTTCAAAATTATACACTATTCACCTTCCTGCAACAGGATCTTTATATAAACGTTCTGTCAAATGTATTTAAACTTTAACGTTTGCAAAAAGTCATTCTTTGAAACAGATAAATTATTTAAAAAACTTTATTTTGGTATTGTGTCTATACGTTTTTTAAAAATATTGAAATGTTCCTTTAAACGTATTTAAACGTTAACGTTTGAAGACGTTCTTAAGACCTAACAGTGAAATTGTTAAAATTTCTGCTTTCCTGTATTGCACAGATGAAGCTTAAACGTTTTTTAAACGTACTTAAATGTTGATGTTTGTAAAAAAACGTTTTATTAAATACATATATTGAAAAATACATATAATGAAAAATTTTTTTAAAAAATAATGAAAAAATTAAAACCGTCCTTTAAAACAAGACGACAAATTATAAAGAAGCTTTTGCTTTGGTACTGCAGGTGTCTATAAAGTTGAAACGTTTTTTTAAACATGCTAAAATGTTGGACTTAAACGTTAATGTTTGAAGAAAACGTTTTTTTTATAAAAGACATATCAGTAAATTGTTAATATTTCTCCTTTATTGTTATGCACAAATGAAGCTTAAACATTTCTTTAAACATATCAATGTGAACACGTTTTTTGAAGTACATATAAGGACAACTTATTTAAAACACATCTTTGTATGGTATGTGCCATACATACAAAAAACATTCTTTGAAATAGATATAACAAAGTTATTTTTAAAAAATTTATTTTGATATTGTGAATATGAAATCAAAATGTTCCTTTACACACCTAGACCAGTGCTTAAGCCTTCAAAAATGGTAAAAAGTGAAAAAAAATTATAGTAGGATGAAACCCATTGGAAAAGGAAGAGAATATAACAGAAATGAAAAGAAAAATAATTTACGGGCGATCTGAGGTCGGGAAGGGGAAGGGGGTGAGTTTTTAAGGGTAAAAAACGGTTTATCTTGATTTCCGGAAAAACTACAAGTCTTATGGAAAAAAGTTAAATGGCAAAGTTGTAGGTAATAAAAAGATCTACAACTTTTGTATTTACACTTTTTTCACATAACCTCAAAATTTATGTGAAAAATTCAAATAACCAAGTTTTTGGTTTTTTATTTTTATCTTTTACAAACAAATTTTTTTTTCACGAAATTTGGTGAAAACTTACCTATTTATGTCCCAAACACGCTGTAATTTTTTTGATTTGAAATATTTATTTTTTCACCTTATTTTTACTTAATATCGAAAAAGCACCCTAATTTTCAATCGAAAATTCTCACGTCAAAATATCTGCTTTTTTAAAAACGTCGGTGGGCTTTTTCTTCGTTGAAATCTCTACTTTCTGATGGTGTAAAAAAATATATACATTACTATGGTAAGTTTTCTCAGGAAATGCAAAGAAACGAACTAGAATCCGAAAATTTTTTTCTAATCATTATGTACAATTTTGAGCTATTTATTAAAATTTACACTTTAATTACTCGAAAAACGTAAGATTCCATGTTACATTGATAAACAAAAAAATTACAAGTCGAAATATACTATTATAATTAACAACCAAATAAGTTAATAAAGTTAATATTTAATAAGACATCTACAATATTTTGAGAAAGTTGTAGAATCTTCTTTCGTTTCTTTGCATTTCCTGAGAAAACTTACCATAGTAATGTATATTTTTTTTTACACCATCAGAAAGTAGAGATTTCAACGAAGAAAAAGCCCACCGACGTTTTTAAAAAAGCAGATATTTTGACGTGAGAATTTTCGATTGAAAATTAGGGTGCTTTTTCGATATTAAGTAAAAATAAGGTGAAAAAATAAATATTTCAAATCAAAAAAATTACAGCGTGTTTGGGACATAAATAGGTAAGTTTTCACCAAATTTCGTGAAAAAAAAATTTTTTTGTAAAAGATAAAAATAAAAAACCAAAAACTTGGTTATTTGAATTTTTCACATAAATTTTGAGGTTATGTGAAAAAAGTGTAAATACAAAAGTTGTAGATCTTTTTATTACCTACAACTTTGCCATTTAACTTTTTTCCATAAGACTTGTAGTTTTTCCGGAAATCAAGGGAAACCGTTTTTTACCCTTAAAAACTCACCCCCTTCCCCTTCCCGACCTCAGATCGCCCGTAAATTATTTTTCCTTTCATTTCTGTTATATTCTCTTTCTTTTCCAATGGGTTTCATCCTACTATAATTTTTTTTGGTTTCAAAAATTATCGACCCTGGTCTAACCTTTAAACAGTTCTTCAAATGCATTTAAACTGTGTTTTAAACGTATTTAAACATTAACGTTTGTAAAAAAACTCCTTCGAAACAGTTAAAGCTATATAGCTTTTGTTTCGTTATTACAAAACGTTTTCAATAGTAAAATACAACAGAAAACTGTTAAAAAATTCCTTATTTCGTTATGTACTGACATCCACCGTAGAAAAAAGTAATATTTTTAATCTCCGACAAATTTGTACACCCTGTACGTCCCGTTTTTTACTGACTCATTAGTTTCGTACGCATTTGGATATTTTAAGTGGTATTTTACCAATACACGATTACGTAACGCAACAATTAACATTCGTCAGTAAACTAACAACGCATACAGGCCACCGACAACAATAGGGATCTGTATTACCGGTAGTTACCGTTCCGTTCGTCATTAATTAACGATGCAAATCGCGCAACCGATTGTTTTATTACATAATAAAGTTTTTACCGCTGAAAAAGAGACATCATTTGATTTAATGAGATTGGCCATTGTGGACTGACGGGGAAATTCAACGCAGTCGATCGTCGTTTGTTTGTTTTGTTATTTAGTCTAGTGTGCCGCGGATCGGTTTTTAAATTGTTTATGGTTTGATTTGCGTCTGGGAAACGGACGGTTAAAAGAAGCACTTAGGAGGGATTTAGTTTCGGGTATTAGTTTATTTTATTAATGATAATGTAGGGTATTTGTCAATGAAGGATAGGATTTCAAGCGTCGACTAAGAATTTGAGAAATTCGTGTAATGCAATATTGTTTAGACATGGAACTCCGATCCTCAAACTGAAAGAGGATGAAACATTTTTTATTCAAAAATGGGTACCCATTCTTTCAAAATTTGTATTTCTCTTTATACTTTGTGATAAATCCGGGTTTAACAAAAAAATATCAATATTTAGGCCACCATGTATAACGTTCGTTGACATTAAAGATTTGGGACTAAATATGGCATATAGAATGACACGATCTGTATCTGCCTTAGTGATTATTTAATTTTTAAATAGCCATTTTGCCTGCACCGGGTGGTCCGTTATAATCGTCCCTTATTAATATATGTATAGAAAAAATATGTAAAAACCAAAATTTTAGTATGTTTTATGTAGTTTATCATGGCATTATTAAATTTTTATGAACTATCATGTTTTTGACAAATGAAAACAAGTAAGGTTTATTAAAATGGAACACCCTGTATATTTTTAGAATGTACGTATTTTTCTGAATCTAACAGTACATATGTCCACGGTTAGAGTGAAAAAGAGGGAAAATATTTTTATTTTTCATTTTACGAGGCATTCTTGATTAAAATTTTTGTTTGTCTTTAAAATGCGGTTGGCACGGAAAACTTTCATCTTGCATGTACAGGGTGATCAGAAAATGGGTAAATATAAAAATCGTTCAAGAATAGACTGCCTTTGTTTTTAACAATACAGAAATATGTTGCCTAGAATTGAAATTTATATTATAATTTCAATTTATGTATGAATCGGCCTACTTTGATAGAAACGGGCAGTAAAACATTTTTATTGTTCATTTTACGAGAAAAAGCATTTAAAATATGCAGTTAGTTATAACGTTAGTTTATATTGTAGTAAGATATTAGTGTGCATATATTTCCCGCAAGTGTGTGAATTGCTAAGTAGAAACTAAGAAACAAATATAATTTATTAAGTTTGGAAATATTTCCGTTAGTCATACACATTAGAACAACGGCATTAGATAAAAATTACAGAATAAAGTTCTTCATGTCAAATTATATTTGAATAATGAGCAAAAGGCAATTTATTCTTGAACGATTTTTATATTTACCGATTTTATGATCACCCTGTACAGCAAAGTTCTCCATGCCATCCGCATTTTAAAGATAAGCAAAAATTTCAATGAACAATAAAAATGTTTTACTGTCAGTTTATATCAAAGTAGGCCGAATCATACACAAATTGAAATTATAATATAAATCAATTCTAAGCAACTTTTCTTAACATCATATTTCTGTATTGTTAAAAACAAAGGCAGTTTATTCTTGAACGATTTCTATATTTACTGATCACCCTGTACATGCATTTCTAGTAGACTTTTCGGGATTTTCATGAAAATATAATAAAGTATTCAATTCTACATCTTCATTCCTAGCACAATGCTTTAATTTTCTTTTTAAAGTTTTTCGTTCTTTAAATTCTCTAAAAATTCGTGCAAAAGTTTTTTTGCATGAAACTTCTCTAATATTACCACCTACACCATTTTTATTATTTCCAATATATACACAAATTATGTCAAATTTTCCATTAATAGAAAAATGCATTTTGTAATAACGCGTTACAAATAGGCGGAGAAAGAGCAGTAACATATTTGACCATAAGTTTTAATTGTCATCACAAGGCATTATACTGCTTTTATTGTTTCTCGATTAAATAAAACTATTGGAGATGTGTATTACGTTCAGAATATACTTTTTCTAATAATATTGATCAAACCGCTGAAGGGATTATATGATATATGGATATGTATGGTTAGATTCAGAAAAATATGTAGAGTTCCAAAAATCTAAAAATATACAGTGTTCTATTAAGAAACCCTACTTGTTTTCATATGTCAAATATGTGACAGTTTATAAAACTTCTAAGTATGCCATGATAAACTACATATAAAAAACTAAAATGTTTGTTTCTCGACTTTTTTTCTTATTATAATAAGGAAGGCAATTATAACGGACCACCTAGTAGTACCGTCTTCAAAAAGAAACGCTAAAATTTTATTGACAATCTTACTCAAGTTTCCCATCATCTTGAGACTATTTACAACATTTGGCGAAACGTTTCGCATACTTTTAAGTGATTGTCAGTATACCAAAAAAATAATTCTATTTATATCAGATTGCGCAACTCGACAAATAGTAAGAATTCAGATTATGTGCGGATTCTTTACGGTCTACTGAAAATTAGTCTGAATCGAGTTCGACGCGGTCCACATTGAATTTTGAACGTTCCGTGAAATACAGGGTGTCCAATCCTGCCAATTTATGCGAACAAAATCTATTTCCTACATTCGTCGTACATTTGTACGGCTTAGGGCATAATAATAATATACCAGATATTATTATTATGCCATAAGCCGCGCGAAAAAAAAAAAACTTTTTCTTATTAAAAAAGTTTTGGTTTTAAATTACATGGTTTATATTTTGCAGGTGACAGGCGGACGCCTGTACAGGAAAGTGGCCATACCCTGCAGACCCCAAAAGACCTTCTCTCTGTTGGTCCACGAAGTCCCTCACGATCTACCCGAAGACGACATCAGGGCTAGCCTCTACAGATATGGGGCGGTGGTGAGTTTTTGCAGGCCTTATCAACGAAACGAAAATCTCGAAAATACACATATGAAAATTCCATGCAAAAACTTTTATAAAGTAACATAATATTGACACAGTGGCTTATAGCTGTTTTCCATTGACAATTTATTGATGAATTAATTCATGAAGTTGCTTCATCAAGAAATTGGACAAGTGTAATGCACAAATTTTGCTGTCAAATAACTTCATGAATTTATTCATCAAGTTCTTGACGAATTAGAGCATGTTCTAATTTTCGTCAATTTCTTCGTGAAGTTTGAAGGTACCAACCCAACAGATTTCGAGCCTCAGATCAGTAATGAGGTTATGGTATTGGAATATGTAAATCATTGTGTGGCGTCGTACTACTTTTGCATTGTTTTTACTGATTTGTTACTTACAAACACTAATATTTATATAATATGTGTCAAAACGGTACCGCTGTTGTATCACTTCAATTATGAGTGGAAAGATAACATTTTTGAAATTTATTTGCTTTTTTGATTCGTTGGTACAACCGATTCATGCGTCAAAAAACTTGACGAAGTCTGTAACAGTGTAGAACCACACTGTTTACCAATAAATTCGTGAATTAATTTATGAAGAACTTCGTCAATTTATTCATCAATAAATTGTCAATGTAAAATCTATTACAAAGCCCTGCATTCACGAGAATTTTATGTAACATTACACACTAGATCAGTGGTTCTTAACCTGTGATCCAAAGACCCCTGGGGGTCTGCCATCTCCTCCCAAGGGATTCGTGAAGTTTTTAGGAACATTTAATCCCTAATAACAACTAATTACGAAAATGCTGTTGTTATATGTCAGAGTGTAACTTATTGTCTATCTTTCCGAAATTTACGTTTAGTGTGCAATTGATAATAATTAATATTTCAAACCCATTTAAATTCTATCTAACATAAGTAAATAACTGGGGGTCCGCAACAACAAAAAATATTGAAAATTGAAAGATAAACAAAAGGTTATGAACCGTTGCGCTAGATTAGCAAAATTCGTTTATAAAAGAACCTACCTTAACGCATTTTGTTTTGGGAATTAAATGTCTTTTGGTTAGCATCGTGTTACTCAAATCACTATCATTATTTATTTTTTGCTCACTAGTTTGCGAATAACTTTTTGAGGTCAAAATGTAGCTAAGTACATATTTTTATGCTCTTCAAACTTACCTACAAAAAGTTTTATCCTGCTATTTCACTTTTTTAAGACAAAGTGAAACAACCTAAACTTGGATAAATAGTGCCAATAAATAAACAACACTTTCGTTGAAATTTCAAACTTATACTATATTCTCCAATTTTTTGTGGTGAATTCATTTATGTAAAGAAAACTATAGCATTGCATTTAAAATTTTTGAGAAAAATCCATAAAACGGTATTCTTTTGAAATAACACCATATGATATACGGTTTTCATGTTGAAGTAAATGACATTACGTATTCACGAGATAAAGAATGAAAAGACCTTTCTAACAAAGTATAACACTATGGGCTTTTGATGAGCCAATCCTTAAAAAAATGCATTTTTCTGATAAGACATTTGGGGCTCTCCCCACCCTTCCTGTCGAGAGAGAGAATAAAATGTCAATAACAAAAGTTATGCGCAATAAATCCGGCTATCCATGTTTATACTATTTAATATACCTGAATAGGAAACATTTCCGAGAAAAATTCAACTCTATGTTTTAGTATGTAGATTGCGCCACTTAGCGGCCGAGCTACGAACTTGAAAACTACTTCCAGCGATTTTTCTTGGTTGATTTATTAATCAAAATAATTTTCCTGAAGCTCTAGAGCCCATACTTTCTCTAATATTGTACTACGCCGACCTTAGTAGGATACCCTGTACATACTTGAATATATACAAAAACCTTATATAAAATCAATATTAATAAACAAAAAATAATAAATATTCAACAATGCACAGAACACGTATAAAAAAAATTGACAGAAACTAGAAGACCAATTTATGTTTGATATAATTTTCATGCTGATCGCATGTACCATTTCACATATTAGATAATAAAATATTTAGTCCTCTCTGGAATAAATACAACCCTGAGTAAATATTACCAAGTTTACTTTATTTTATGTTACGTATCTACTATGACCCGCCTTTGGTGAGCGGACAATTGTGCCAACTGTATACATACAGGGTGTCTCACGGTGACGGCCAATTAGAATTATTTCAGAGACTACTTTTCGGGCATGAGACATATCCCAATTTTCCACCAATGAGCAGAATAAAGTTAAGAAGAATTCTAAAAAATCAACTTCATTCATAGTAGTACACAATTTTAATTATGTATGTTGATAATAATAATGCACTAAGATAAAAAAATGACTTAAAAAAGTCATAAGTGTTCAATATGACCCCCATTAACAGCTAAGCACTCGTGGATTGTAGAGATAATACCAGCAGTCACCGCCTTTGCTGTTTCAGCTGCAGGCAATTTATAGAACGCTCTTCGTATTCGAGCAATCAAATCCACTTTTGAAGCAGGGTGTACAATAAACTTTTTGCTTTATTACTCCCCAAACATAAAAATCTAATGGAGTGAGGTCGGGAGACCTCACTGGCCAATTCCACGGTCCTAGGCGTCTCATCCATCTATCTTCAAACATTTCAGTCAGCTGTTAATCGATTTGATTGTGACAGTGAGGTGAAGCCCCGTCTAATTGATACAAACACTTCCTTAGTTGGTCTAAAGGTATATCATCTAGAAAATCTGCCACAACCGTTTGCAAAATATCGAGATATCTGCCGGCATTTAAATTTTCTTCGTAGATATGGTAAGAAATTTGGTTATCTTTAATTAGACAAAAAACATTTACGCTAAAATTTTGAAACTTTCTTTCCCAGATAACATGAGGATTTTCAGATGACCGCAAATGAGTATTATGTCTATTAAAAATACATTCCCTCGTAAATTTTGACTTGTCTGTCCATATAATATGTTGCAGAAATTGTGGATCCTTTTGGTATCGCACTAACATCCTCTCACAAAATTGTAAACATTGCACGGCATCACCCGGATGAAGAGCAGAAAGTAGCTTAAATTTGTATGGATGCATATCATTAGTTCTTCGCATCCTGTAAATGGACGCTCGTGAAATGCCTAAATCAAACTCTGCGGCAAAATAGGCTAGCATATTTATTACATTATTCATTTGAAGTTATTGGTTTTGGTAAAATTCTTTCTGCACAAATTCGACCATAGAGTATGGTTAAAATATCAGCATTTGAATATGTATTGTTTTCCATTTCTTATAAACACTAAATTAAACTGTCACTGCAAGAAACTAACAACAAGTTGATAGTTTAGTTGTTTGTTTTGAAGTTTATAATCAACCAATCTATCAGAGGGAAACGAAACTAAAAATATGACCACCAACTTTTTTCCCATTTTTTTGTCCTTTTTTAATGTTATAAAATTAATTTTGTTAAGTCAGAACTATCAATTTATAAAACGGCAACATCGTAAATTTCACTTGTTTTGAAGTTTTGGTAAAAATTCTACAGCTATCCTCGCAAGAAATTATATGATTTTAGGTGATTATACAAAAAAATAGTAGATAACTTAAAAACTAGTAGAGATAGGTATAGGGAACCCTGATACCGTTCGAAAGAGAATAAAATTGTGTATCAGAATATAGAAAAACATACCGAGTGTTCCATTTAAAAAAACCGACTTATGAAGGTTTGAAGTTAACTAAACTCGGCATTAAATTTCTAGCACCCTGTATGCAATTAAGCCACTTTGAAAGTATGGATGGAAAGCTTAGGGGTCTAGCTGCCCCCCCTATAAATATTGTTGCTTTATCTTTCTTACTATAAAATACACATGGTTTGAAGCTAGTCACTGTTTCTCTCCATTTTTTTGAAAAAAATTAAATATCTCGAAAACGGTTAATTTTAGGAATAGGGAAACTTCATAAAAGTCCACCTAAAATAACACGTAGAATCCAAAACTGCAATAATATATAGGGTATCTCATTTAAAATAAAAAAATTGATGGCGACTTCCAGTATAACCGAAAGCGGTACGTGGACGCCATTATTTTAGTTGAGAAGGGCATGCCCGAAAACCCGGTATCCCAAATTTTCAAAATTTAAATCGAAGTAGTCTCTAAAATAATTTTAATGGACCGTCACCGTGAGACACACTGTATATTAGTTTACTTAAAATATTAAACTTTTTTCCGTTGTAGTTGAACCAAAACAAATAAGAAAGTGTAAATTCAAACTTTTATTCATAACATTTACAAAATATAGTAAAAACACAAAAGATTAGGAGTAATAGATTTTAAAAATATAAGAGTACAAGGTAAAAGTAACATTGCATCTTAAAAAGAAAACTTTACACAATGTAGTATGCATGTTAAATGCAATTACATTCTATGTGTACAAAAAAGCGTTGCAAACACATAAACCCATGTAAATTTCCAGAATTCCTATCAGTGTCGAGAAAGAAACATTTACAGACCGTTAAACAGCCCTACACTAAAACAAAAGACGACCGCGTATACGCACCACCCCATCTCGACACTTTCGATTAGCTTTGATGTTTCTATTTCCGTCCCCGCGATCGCCTTTCTTATCGCCCATCGATATACACGTTATTTATTACAGAAGGCAAATTATGATAGGCGACACGTGCAGCCGAGCGTGTGCACGTGTCGAAACGTGCGAACTGGCTTCCTCGAACGGCTTCTGAATGCGGATGGGGCTCATGCACTGCCTCGTTGGTTCGCCGGTGCCACGCTTTGCTTGTAACACTATTCGGTAACGTATTCATGAGGTGACTGCCTCCCCCTGCTCGTGTACATAACGAATGTGCATTTGGAACGCCTTTGTGGCCTAGATTGTTCCTCTAATATACCCTTAAGCCGATGTTCGGATGCTCTGCTCGATAAAATAATATTCGCGGTGGCAAAGCACCCGTTACAGGTATCCTACGCCTTTAAATCAATAAGTGAACGTTTAAATATGAAAATATAGGTGTTTCAATACCGTTTCGGGAATATTTAAAATTTTTGTTTCATTTATAATGTAAACATTTTATATTTATTATGAGTAATCTGTATATCATTGCAAAAATACACACGATTAAATAAGTACATCGTTTTTACGTTTGTAGCCAGGACGAAACTGTATGTATCATATAACATATTGATAAATTAATAATATGCATATTTTATACGTTTAACTCATCGCCTAGATAAAAACGTTTTAAAAAACTATTTAATGTAACTTTAAAATCACAGTATTTAAATGTTTTTCAATATTTTAAATATTTTCTATAAGCACAAAGGCATCTCTTCCCATTCTGTATGTGTAGGACAATTATAAACGATTAAATAATATAAACGTATAACTTTATAAAAATTGTAACACTATTTCAGTAATGCTTAAAACGTTTGCTTTATTTGCGCGCATCAAAAATGTTTACTACATTTTACTGAAATAGTCCTTATGTCATTGCACGTTTAAATACGTAAGTCTTTGTCATGTTTGGGGGCAAAAACGGTGTGTATATAATAACAAACAAATTTTTGGCAAGTTAATAATCAGATGCATATTTTAAACGTTCCAAGTGACAATATTTAAACGTCCAGATATTTTTTCAATATTCAGAATAATTTGAATATTCACATGTCAAACCATTCCATTACAGACATTATATATGTCTAAATCAATTGTAGTTTAAATATATAAACGTATAATTTTTTTATAAGTTAATAAACAGATGTATATTTTAGACGTTTAAATCGCCACCTAAGTAAAAATATATTTAAAAACTTTTAATGATTCTTCCAAGTGACGATATTTAAACGTTCAGATAAATGTTTTTTAGTATAATATTCACAAAGTAAACTATTCCGTTACAGACATACACGTTTAAATCAATTCTAGCTTGAATATGCAGAAGCAGTTTTTATACCCTTGCAAGAATTCCTACGTTTAAATATCTCATATATATCAATCATTATCTGATTTGAGACAAGGCAAAAGTGTATTCAATAAATACCAAATAACTCTTTGATAAATTAATAAACACATGCATCCTTTAAATGTTAAAGCAGCACCTAGGTAAAAACGTATATAAAAACGTTTCATGCATCTTTGAAGTGCAATCGTTGACAAATGTTTTTCAGTATTTATAACATTTCCATTATCCACAATAACAAACCAACTCGTTATGAATGAATTTACGTCAATTGTAAATGTTTAAATATATAAACGTATAACATTTTTTATCAAAATTCTAACACTGTTATAGAAATATGTAAAACGTTTCCCTTGTTTAGTCAGAAAACTATTAAAATTCTTCGGAAGTAATTTCTACACGTTTGCAAGAATTCGTACGTTTAAATATGCAAATCTTTGCAACGTTTGAGGACAGGGAAAAACAGTTTCCGATAAATGTCCAACTTTTTAACAAATTAATAAACATATACACATTTTAGACGTTTAAATCATCGCCCAGGTATAACAATCAACGTAACTTTTAATCGATAGATTTAAACGTTCATAAAAAAGTTTTTCCAGGTGGAAGTCACCAGACTCCAGAACAGAATGGACCAGCCGCCCGGCTCCCCTCCCGCCATTCGCATCACCGTGGCCTCCCTCGACGAGTACAACAGCCTCCTCCAGCAAGGCCTCGACTTTTATGGTGCCACGTACTTCCCCACGGAGCCGCTGAAGAAGGAACAGCTTAGAGGCAGTAAAGAAAAACTGCTGCCCGTTTTCGACTCGTCGGGATTCTCCAGGATACCGCCTCCCCCGACCAGGACCCTAAAACCCTTAAGATCATAAAGGGAAACATCCACCACTATCGGCCACTGGATATAAATGCTCGATATAAAAAAATAACACGTTTTTGTCAATTCTGAACAAGAATTTTTGATGGTCGACACTTTTCACGTTTAAAAGCGAGTATTAACAATTAATCAATTGGATTTTGGTCTGGCGGGAATAACGGATATCGGATTATGGTTTTGATTAGGGAAATATTTTTTTTAGAAAAAATACTTGAATACTTCAATGGTTTTGTTGAAGTGTTATGTTTTATTAATTTATTTACAAGCACCTGTTTTTTTTTAAGAAGTTCTACTGTACTGTTACTGAAGATTTTAATCTAATGTCTGCACATGTTTATGAATAAATAAAGTACATAATTTGATGATGCGGAGTGTTTATTAGACCAACATTATTTGAAAAATAATAAAATGCCTCCGTACGCCACTGAGTGGCATCAGTCAAAAGTTGGGATTATATCGATTGGCCACTTGAAAAAGATGTAAGACCGTGTAACCCGGATGAGGGAGAAAAGGCCGCGGAAGTATTGGCGAAGGCTTTTCACCGATTTCATTTTTATTTTATTTGCCTACCCGAAGCCGCCCTCTCCGGGCTCGAAATTTGATATTCGAAGGGATGCGGATGATGCATTTATTTGTTTTCCCGTTTAATCTGCCGCCGTGCGGGGAGTGGACGCTTTCCGAAGTGCTTATATATTCAAATCGAGAGGTTCGACGTCTGCGGTTCCTCCCAGAGGTGAGGCCAGCGTATCTCTCTAGCCTTGCTAGTCACGATGTTCGCCGTGATTTCGCTTCCAATTTAGAAGCGTTAACAACTCGCAGTGATGACCTATTGAACTGCGAGTGTTCCTATTATTTTAATGCGAGATGTACTGGGTGGACTGTGATTTTCTTCTAATGTTAAGAACGTTTTTCGGTTTTATCGTAGTTTTGATGTAGTCTGGAGCTGATTTTGAATTTTCACCCATCTTCTCAAAATTATTTGGTAAACCTTTGGGGACAAATTCCGCCGAAAACTACGAAACCATGAACAAGAAGTCGCAAATGACTTACGAAGCACATCGGAAGGCGCAGAGCGGAAAACCAAAATTTCACCAATGTTTTGAATTTTTTCCTATACGAAGCCCCAATTGTCCCCAATAGACTAGGAAATATACAGTTGGGCGCGACTTTTGTTTCGGCAAAAACAACGGAGTTACAGATTGTCAAAGTTGACGGCGTATTGTTAAACAAATTACGTTGGTAGCGGCAAAAAAATATTGTCATAACCGACAACCCGAGTACATTCCCAGGGAAAAATATTTTATTTGTGGAAGTATGTTAAGTGCATATGCAATATTGTCAAAAGTCAGTGGGTCGCTTGATTTTCGGCGAGCCGTGGCGCGGCGTAAGGGTGGGGGAAGCGAATGACAGCGAGTCCGAAGAAAATGACGATAATATTCATAGTTCTGCCGTTAAAAAAGCGAAATTCGCTTGAAAATAATATATTTGACAGTCTGTAACTCCGTTGTTTTTCAACGAATCTTGACGATTTTTTTAACTTAAAGCTCTTTTCATAAACTTTCCGAATATGTAATAATATATAACTATATCACGCTCGTGCGTCGTAAATTTCATTTTGCAACTAACGCCAAAAAATTAAAAAAAATTCCAGGTTGCAAATTTGAAATTTAAAAAAAATGATAGATTTCAATGTATTTCAATAATAACGCAGTTTATAAACGTTTAATTCGTCATTAATAAACTTCTGTTTATAACTTTTGTTCTAATCAATATTTTTTGACGCTCGAGGGCTATATTTGTAGGTCTTTTGAAGACGAAAAAAAAGGACTTTACTGTTTGTTCTCTTGTGGAAATGAACGGAAAAAGTTATAAGCGAAAAACGTGAATTTACGTAAAAATTATACAATTAACCACCCTGTAAACAATCTTCTCCCCATTTTTATTATTGTGGAAACTAATATGTTATTATACATAATATTTAGCATCTATAGTAATAAATTCGGCTTGCCGAAACAAAAAGTCGCGAAATGGTCATTTTCCAGCTTATTTTGCTGGTCTACAAACGCCATAAAACGAAGTAAACAGTGCTAACTGAGCACGCAACCGATTGCTAACAGTTTCAAATTTTTGAAAAATAAAATAATTCCATATTTTACGAAATTCGAACTGAAACAAGGCCTTTATGGCCGCCATTAACCAAAATAATTTTCTGTTCAATAACCCTTGGGAGACGGTCACAATCATAAGATGGGTTTTTCAAGCAGGCCAATTTTTCATTTTCACAGCGAACATCATCACAGAATCTTCGCGGATCCAGCCTGCACTGTGTTCGAACGTGAGCCCAAACCCTGTAGCTTATAAACCAGGCATAGATACCTGACCAGTATGCTAATATTTACCTTTGAAATGTTTGCTTTCACCTTGCATACGGATATTATTACTTGTTTCATTTGTTGTAAATTTACCAAAAATTCCAATAAATCACCATTTTTACGAATTCAAAAAAATTTGTTACAAAAAATTTAATGAGCTCTACGTTCTCACAGCTCTTATAAGTCTTATCATCCAAGAGTTTCTGAGCCTGCGATGAAGATCTTGAGGGATATAAGCACCTAAAGCTTCCATACCAGGTGCTCTACGGATCCCTCACAAATATAAGCTCATAAAGATTCCAAATCAGGTATGTACTTTCAGGATGCCTTATAAAAGTGGCATTTAACATTTGATATAAAGGCAATTTTATTAGCATATGGTATGAGCAAAAGACATAAACAAAGCATTATTTCCAGGTTGCTGGGACCTCTGTATGAAACGATTCTGGAATTGGGTTCCATTTAACCAACCAAACAGTATTCAAGTTTCTGATCTCACAAATATCGTAAATGATAATCGTAATATACATTGACTTTCGCAAAACAAATCCCAAATTCTTATTTGCGGCAGCTAAAGAACCACATATGTGCTGTAAAAAAACTTAGCTGAATAAAAAATGATGCCTTAAACATTGACATACCTCTTAAGAGTACTGCCATGTAATAACATAAATGTTATAGCTACTTACATGCGGTGACAAGACATGACGTTACACTACTGCTAATATAGCATACAAGAGGTACATAACTTGTTTTTGTCGCACTTATTCAGTGAGGAAATATTACTTTGAAGATTCTTACAGTAGGTACTACACAAATAGTACAGGTCCAAGTATGGACCCTTGAGGAACTCCTGACCCATATTCGAAATTAAGGATCGGTCATGAATGAACCCGTGCTGTTTACGGATAACCATATACGGGGTGTTCCAGACCACCCTTTCTAAAATCCAAACAACATGGTTATGTGAAAAATGGTTCAGATGGAAGTTACTGGTCTGCAAGGGGCACATATTGTCGTGACTTTGTCTGTTGAATGTCATTTTCAAGGTCTTTTCAAGGTCAACTTATTTTATTTTTAATGGAAACCACGGATTCGAAAAGAACGAAAAATTCTACGTTTAGATGATGTATCATGCGTGGGATCCATTTGACCACCCAAGGTCACGTGAAGGTTAATTTTGTTTTATTGAATCTTTCCACCCAAATGACCCCGTAAAGTTAAAGTTTAGCGAAACATGTGTCAGATAAACGTTGCAAAATTTTAAAGTGACATATTTCGATAACCTTGACATGTAACATTAAAACAAAGGACCTCGCACAAACCTTATGGAAAATGACTTTCGGTCAAAATGGCTGAAATTGAAATATGATATAGCTCTCACCTTCCTGAGCAAAAGTTGTCATGGGTCCAAAGCGATCCTATGTGTAGGTCTAAAGATATAGAGCTTTGAAGCTAACGATTTCATAGCACGGTGCTGAATACAAGTGCAGGATAGGTGTATGTATACTTCCCTTTCTCCGTATATACAGGGTGAGTCAGTTTTTTATAGACAAACTTTAACAGGCGATAGAACACATGTTTTTAAAAAGAAAAGTTCCTATAAATATATGTCATAGAAGCCTTTTTTTAAATCAATATCTGAACGGCTTTGGATACTTGGACATCAATGAAAATCAGTTACCTGTTCTCTTGGAAAATCTCCCATTACAGTTACGTCAGAACATGTGGTTTCAGCAAGATGCATGCCCTTCACATACCTATGGCGCTTATCTGCCGAGAAAGTTTGAATCATATGTGCCTCAACAGATATATCGGAAAATATGGTCCCGTCAATTTATCTACCTCGATCCCCTGATCATACAGTCCTGGATTATTATTTGTGAGGAAGATTTAGTTTACTGTGAACGTCCGAACGACAAGAACCAACATGATTCAGAGAATTACGGAGTCACTAGAGCAAGGGTCGGCAACTGGCGGACCGCGGTCCAGGTCCGGACCGCGGAAGGTAAAATACTGGACCGCCAAAAATTTTTTGAAAGTATAAATTACTCAAATAAATTATTTAAAAAATGATTTTTACGTTTAAGTGCCAATCTTATCATTTTTTCTAGTATTTCACAATTGTTTGAGTGTTTTGAGTTCTTAATTAGTAAGCAGATTAAATTCGAGTCCAAATTAAATTAAAAAAATTAGAAATATGAATTTTTTTTCTGGACCTCGTTAAAAATTTTCAAAAGTATCCGGACCCCACCTAAAATTACTTGCCGACCCCTGCACTAGAGGCTGCAGAAATTGGACGAGCTGTTGATGACTTCGAAAGAAGAGTGCAGGCGTTTATTTTGCGAGGCGGAGCACAGTTAAAACACTAAAGTGTTTGATTACAGAGGTTCGTGGTTTCTTTTTGTATCTGGGTACTTTTTCAGCGGTATTACATAAAAAAACAGCTTTATCTTATTATCATTGAAAGTGATTTTATGTTATTATGTTACACATTAATTGTAATTGAGATAGATGCAACTGTAAGAAAAATCGAGGTATTATGCTTTCCGATTAAAGACTTTAATCTCGCCAAACTGATTTTTTTTTCATTACTGTTATTATTATGTATCTACCTAGGTACGTAGTTATTTTCCCCGATTTATTTGTAGGTCACGTACCTACAATTTTCCTTTTTCCGAATCCAGAATTAAGAATGAGGGTTTACGTAAAAAATCGAAGTTGACCATGAAATGACCTTGAAAATTGTCAAAACATGTATTTTCAAAATGTTTCAACGTTTATCTGACATTTTTTGATAAACCTTAACTTTGCGGAGTCAATTGGATGGAAAGATTCAATCTCAAATAGACCCCACACATGATACATCATCTCAACGTAGAATTTTCCGCTCTTTCCGAGTCCGGGGTTGAAAATAAGGAAGGGTTTCCATTAAAAAAAACTAATTTGATCTTGAAATGACCTTGACAAT